TGCATTCAGGACTAATTGCATTAGAATAAAGTTACAAATGTATTTAAGTAAAACTTAACAATTTTGTCTAAACACTTCTCTGTCTCCTCTGCCTTGACGAGAGGGTGGCGCACAGTGACCTGCGTGGACAGTCAGGCTGTCACTGCTGCCACCCAGCTCGTCTGTCTCGCACGGCAGGTAAATCTTGATGGGTTTCCTTGGGCACTTGCCATCCTGGTTAGCCTAAGGCTTTCCTGAAGTGTTCACCATAGCTAGGCTGATCGCGCTAGAATTAAATTGTTGTTTGGTGGAAATCAAAGTCGAGCTCAAACAAATGATGAGTCTCTGTTAGCTGAGCCCGACAGTCCTGGGTGAATTCCATCACTGCGGTGGAGTAAGGTATGGGTCCCTTCCTCTCTAATTGTTTTTTACAAGCTGCGATTTCACAGTCTGTATTGTTATTTCCATTTGTCCATTTGATTGCAGAGAGAAGAGACCAGATGTTGTGTGACAAATCATAGCTATTTGCAATCTGTTGGAATTCTTATAAATTGTACTGGGGATCATTTTCTGATAACTGATCCTGCAATCACTTATGCACGTGCATCACTTAGAGCATGAGATGTCCTATTGAAGTGTGTGGATCTATTCATACGCTTAAATTAAGCACGCATCAGGCACGTTTGTGTAAATGTTTGTGTTGTAGAGTATGCTGATATTTAGGACTTGCCTGTTAGATTCCCCATTGCATTAATTTACATGTAATCAAATCACATATTCTTAGTACACTGTAAAAACTGATATCGGTTAATGTTTTTATTGTTGTATGATATATATGGCTCCAAATTTGGCTTAAGTGTGTCCTGCAACAGAGAGATCCCATTCTGTTTACTGATCTGTAATTCACAACAAATAGTTCTTTCGGTACAGCGCATCAAACCCAACTCTGTTATCCATCTGTTTTTAGGGCGTATGGCTAATCAAGGAAGTGGTCTCTCACTGACACACTGAGAAGAATGAAGTTAGTTCCTCTGTAATTGAAAGTATCAGTAGTAAACTTGGCTGGAGCTTGATTAATGGTATATTAAAATCAGAGTCTTCATGGTGAGTGCTAGATAAGGAGTTTTGGGCAAATTACTTGGTTACTGGGAAGCCTTTAAATTTTAATCATGGAGACACTTCAGCATCATTAGGAACTGAAAAAGACAATGGGCACTGGGAGGAAGTTATGTGAATTGATGTGCTTTTCAATCTCTTCTTCTGTGGTGATATTGAGTGATGCATGGGCTGCAATTGAGAATCCTCTTGCTCCCCATGCCTTTGATTGCTGTTGTTATAATTTAATATTATACAGTTCTTTATGATCATGGAAATCAGATGAGTTAGTTGCAAAAGATGGAAGGTTTCAGTATTAGAAAAATTAGTTTAACATCACAGTTTTTCTGTGCTGTCTGCCTGGGTAGCAAAATGGATGGACACTTTAACTTGCATTTAGAATGAATGGAAATAGAAAAACATGGTCTTTTGCACACGTGTTTATTGTTTAATGTGATATTAACATTATGAACCTCAAACATGGATTTACACTTTAATTCGAAGTCCATTTTTGTGTAGTGAGTATGTGCATATCGGTCCAGTTTAGGGGTGCACATGTATAATAGCTATGCTGTATCTATAGAGAGGTGATATATGTAAAAGCTTTATGAGCATATGTATGGAATATAGATGTCTCCCCAGGGTGACAGGTTCAATTCGAACAAGAGCCAATGAAACCAATACACTGAACTCCTTCACTCACATCTTTTCTTTCTGACTGGGATTTTCAAATGACTCTAAGGATGTTAGGTGCTCGGCTCCAGTATCGTTCAATGAACTAGAAATAGTCAACATATTTGAAGTGGCAGCAGGGGCTGTCACAGATTCAGTCCCCTCCTTTTCCAGGCAACTGTATGATGGAACTGGGTACATACAGTGACCAAACTAATTTAAAGTCAGGTCGTTTGTTTGCCTCCATTAGTACTATGGGAGAACCTCTCTCCTGTCTAAAGATGTCATTTAGACATATTCTTCTAATAGAATTTGTCTATAGTTAGTGTAGGCCTATTCATATTTGCACCAATATTGTCTAGTGATTTAGAATAGTTTTAACCTTCATTCATTTTGCTGGGCTAAATAAAGTACTTTGTTTCATTCCCCTTGCTTAAGAAAGGTTCACCTTTAGCCTGCCTATCTCTGTAGGCCTTCTCTGATCCTCCTCCATATTTTGATCAATTCTCTTCCCGTATGTGAACAAATTGAAGCACCAGATGATCCAGGCATGGTTTTAACACAGGCTTGCACAACAGTATGAATATTTTCCTAATGCTAATGGGAAGACTTGGCCGTTCTCTATCCTGAGATGCTCCATTTGCTTTTGTGTTCATGGGTGCACCACAGTCAGCATTTTGGGAAATCTTGGCCTTCCTCTGCTATTTCCAAGCAGGAAGTTCCAGCTGTCTGCAGAAATACTGATGATTAGTTTTGAAATGGTGACCCTTCTGTTACTAAAGTTTGTATTACTAAATTTTATCCTACTTCTGTCACTGCGGTCCCCAGATCATATAATTTTACCTGTATTCTGATACTCCTTTGGGTTGGTGCTGTCTTCCAAATTCGTGTCATGAAAAAAATGTAATTGGTATACGAGCATTCTGTGTCAAAGTAATTATCAAAACTGTTAAATAAAATCAGTTCTGACACCTAGGCCAAGAGGGATTAAAAGTGATTTGTCCAAAGTCACATTGGAGTGCTGTGAAGAAGATGGTCTAAATCCCAGTGTGTTCTCTGAATTACAGAAACATTCATTTTCTTTCGGAAGGAACATTTAAGGCCATGAACTAGAAAGCTGTAAGCTAAGAAAAGATTTCTTTCTAGGAAAGCGAGAGCTTGTTGCAAACAAAACTATTCTTGCTCAGATAATGGTATTTTGTAGAAAAAGAAACTTCTTTTTGCAATGCGTGCATCAGTTACTATGGGAAAAGCTTGTTGGTTTTAGACTGGTATTCCTGGTCACGCCAAAGGAAAACTCTCACTCAGTCCTGTTTGGCTGGAAATTCAGCGCGTGAGACATTTATGTAGGCTACAGGAAACAGAAGCCTCAGCTGCTGGCCTCAAAGAAACGTAGTGCCAACTCCTAGGAAGGTCTTTGGTACGCCGTGTAACCAGCTCGCTCACCGATTGATTCCTCTGTCCTCTTCCTTACTTTCCTTTTCTGTTGTTTGACTGGGTCTGTTTTTGCTTGTTTTCACACGTATACACAACTCCCAACAGCTTTACAGGCTCTTGGTTTCATGTTGATGCACACTATAAACATTTTTAAAACTATACAACTTTTCGTGGAGCAGGAGACCATTTTCCACCCAGAATCATCACAGCCTGGAGGCTGAGTTCTGGCAACATGAGAGAAAATGCCAGACCTGAAAGGGAGAGGAAGAAATATGTCCTGGCAGGGTGAGTTGGTGCTTTTTTTTTTTTTCATTTAATAAATGATGTGTACTTAGGGATTTAGAATATTAGAACAAGTCCTAGGGGGATATGGATTTAACGGAAGGGGATAAAGTTGTTGTGGAAACATATCTTTATTAAATTTTCTCATTCAGATGTTTATTATATGATTTATAAAGACTTAAGCTTATTAGGAGCCCCTTTTTAATTTGCCACATAGTGATTGTGTATATCTATATAGCCATGCTGCAGATGTGTTCATATGTTCAGATAAAAGCAAATGCTCCAGGAAGCCATGCTGATCAACTGATCTACCTTCTTTTATAGTGAAAACCCCATAATTTCAACCAATGTAAATATAACCCGTATATGCAGCATATATTTCAGAAACATTCTTGATCTAGATGATTTGAAAAAAATGCATTGTATAGTATTATGTAGATTTGTGTGTGTGTGTGTGTTTGTTTATGACCTAATATAAATAGGACCATATTCCCAGTGGCATATAATGTCCTGTGATTTCACAGATACGTCGTTTATGTTTATGATGTCTAACTGTGGTCTTAAAGTGAGAGAAAAATTTGAGGCATTACAGATAAATATGTAACGCTTATCTAATGTGGTTTAGATTTGCCTAATCAGCCTCATTGAAGAGTAGCCTACGTGTGACAGGCTTAGATTATCTATTAGTTTCAGACTGTTGATACAGAAAGACGTATGAAAAGTTGGATTGCGCGTCCTTCTTGCACTCCTAAACTGCAGTAAAGAGCTCAAAACCTGAAGTGTTTTTAATTGCCTTTGCAGCCCTCTGAATGAATGAGCCTGGAGGACTGATGGAGATGGCGGAGGTGTCTCGGCACTGACACGCGCCTGGCAGCTCTATCTCAAATCTTCCTGGTGCGTGTCCCACCCCAGCATATTCCTTCGTGTCTGACTCCAGTCATGGCACATAAGAGGGTGGAAGAGGCGGTAAATTTTAGGCATTAAATATTGACTGTTTCCCAAATTTCTTGTATTTGAGGGAAACTCAACAGCCAGAGGCAGACTCTGAGGTTCTCCTACCTGGTGGGAAGGGGCAGGGTTGGAATAAAGGGGCTACTCCGTGGCGTTACACCCGCTCATTTCCTAAAACCATGTCTTTTTTATAATTATGACAGTTCATAGACTGCAGCTTATTTGTTTAACTAACTTTCCCTTCCTTCCTTGCTCTCTCCCTCTCTCCTTTCTTTTTCTTTCTTTCTTTTTCTTTCTTTCTTTTTCTTTCTTTCTTTTTCTTTCTTTCTTTTTCTTTCTTTCTTTTTCTTTCTTTCTTTTTCTTTCTTTCTTTCTTTTTCTCTTCTGTCACCACATCACTGGGAGGGGAGCAAAAATCAGGAAAAGATTCTGATTAGCGATCCATCATAAATTAATGAATAAAAGTGTAATCCTAGCACTTCATGCTAGAGTGGAACATTTTAAAAAATCATGAAGTGAAACATAAGAACACTAGAAAAGTTTGGATTGGGGTATAAAAATTATTTGGAAGACTGTGTGCTAATCAACAGCAAATGTAAGAATCAGCTAGGTTGATAGGGCAGTGAATGACTTGTATTTTTTATATTGGAGTTTTTCAATCAGCATTTTCTGAACATGGGTTCTCATTATGATAATGATGATGGGATTAATTATCACCATGAGAACAAGCGATAATGGTACTTTGAACTGTATTTGTCACCATATGACACAGACTATTACTTGTTTTTACATTCTCCGGGACGTGTGTGCATTGAAAGGAGCTGACTTACACGCTGAATGACAGACTGGCCTATGATGAGATGTCGAAAGACATCTGACTGGGCAGGATTTCTGCTGTTTTACATATTCGTTACCTGATGGCATTAAGGGAGCACCAGGAAAATCATTGAAATTAGTCCTTGGGATTAGTATTCAGCTGCAGAGAACAATTTAAACACAACTTTGTTTCTTGCCTTGCTTTAACACTTCAACATGTTTACAACCTTTAAGCCATTAGGGAGAGGAGACTTCTCCATACAAATCCTGTTCCTAGAGATGTCATGCAATTTAATCACCAAAATAGCAGGACTCCACAGTGTGTAGATCTTTCTGTGTTTATTTTAAATATTATAGATACTGTGTGCAGAGAAAACTGAAAAGTCTTCTCTGTGAAAAGTCTTTTACACTAAATAAATGAGCGCCTCAACAGCAGCATGATTTATTTTTTAACTCTTTTATTTTTGGACCCAAGTCACAGGTGTCTAAGTGAAAATATGTGTTTACCTTCAAAGGAATAATATTCTTTCATAAATCAAATTTCCAAAATGGCCTTTGCAAAATTACTACCAAATTAAGAGAGTTCGTTTCAAGCCATGTTGGAGAGGGACCATAAACCAAAGGCAGACTGGTGGGCAAGGCGATACAAGCAAACCTGGCTACACCGATCAGGTGAACTGCTGCCAGTGGGACTAGTTTCCTAAGCCTCAGACTGCTCCTGCGCTGCACAAATGTGTGCTTATTAGCAAATGGGGTGGCTAGCTACAATAAACAGTAAGTTAAGAGCTGAAAATGTTGGGTTTTTGATCCTTGAGCTGCGTCCAATGAATATTTCACAGAAGCACTTTAACAGAAAGTTAAAATATATAGAAATAGAAGAGGCTGCTTTAAAACTAAATCAACCTTAAATCACAGCCATACCGTATGCATAATTCTGAAAAGAGCTAATTTCCGAATCTCCTGTTCATACCTGATGAATTTGCTGACAAAGTACTTGTTTGACATTTGTCCCACGTACAGCTTTATCATATATCTGTTATTTGTGTGAATTCCAAAAACTGATTTTTGTCTGAAGACATTACCAGAACAATGTGTTCTTCATTTGAATATTTACCCATATCGGAGAATGTGTTCCTGAACGTCTTTCCTCATAATTAAATTTATTCAAGGAATGTGTAAGCAGCTTTTAGTGGTATTTAGGGTCTCTTACTATGCTAACTAATTAATGTATAACTGACATACACGTACTCAACTTTAATAATGTTATCCGATTAATAAGCAATAACTACCTCGGTAAATCAAAATTAAATGCCCACTTATGGCACTAAGTTTCGAACCCTCCTGCCTAGAGACTTTACATTGATTGATTCATTAAACATTACATTGTCTTATGAAGATTAGTGCAAAGTATGTGTGAAAAAAATGGGCTGAAGAAGGAAAATGTGTGCTTTGCTTCTTGCTAAGATACAGATGTGTTGTAGAATAGAAGAAAAAATCATTTTAGTCACTCAGGGAACCATGAGTAGCGCGCAAGTGTTAATTTTGGGAAGCCAGCTTGTAAACGAAAGCACAGTTCCTGACCTAGGTAGACTTTGCCAGTGAACTTCAAGTGTGGTTTGCAAAGCGGCTCAAGTCAATGAGGGGCAGGCACTCACTTGGGAGTGGAGGACTCAGTTTACCCTTTCACTCGAGGGGTTTGGCCATGTCAGCTCTGTCCCAAGAGAGGACGTGACTACCAGGTTTTAAGCAGAGATGGGCTCTTCTCCAGGCAGGACTGCGAGGCAGAGAAGAAAGGCAGAGCTATGTATAGCATGAATTCATGAGCCCATTTAGCCAAAAATCACTGCCCCGGCTGGAACCACCCAAAATCTTGCTGGTGATTTCATAAAAGATACTGGAAGCCTGATTAGGAGTGAGGAAGTAAATATCAGCATGAGGTTGGAAGGAAAGAGCGGCAGCTGTCATTCATGAAGGGAGATATTGCTGGAGGAGAAATGCAGACGCTTCTCAAAAGATCTGCAGTCTTGCTTTACCCCTGGACCTCCCAGTAGGCAATGTCAGAATGATGTAATCACCCTCAATTTTAGGTCACAGGTGAAAGTTTAACAACAGAAGAAAAATTCAAACTATGCCTCCTAGTGTAAAGCTTTCCGTTTCAGTCATGCTACTGCTACCTGCCTTATACTTAATAAAGAGGTACTTGTTAGTTATGTTTTATGAATAGGTAGTTTTCTATTACAATAAAGCTACTCTCTAGAAAGATATACATTTTCAGTATTATATTATTTCCTAGGATTACGTTTCTCCCAAACTTCCACACATATGGTCAGCTTCCCCACTTACGCATTAAATTTGTTAGCTATTCCAGTATTTATCATATGTTCCAATTCAAATTGTTGCCATTTTCTACTCATTAAACTCTAGCAGACGTTACACAGAGTGCTGATCACACGACCATACCTTGAACAACGGAGGCCAAGTTTGCAGAGTGATTAGTTCATGGAGTTTTAGATTAGTAAGCGAAGAAATGTGAGTTATTGGAAAGGCAGATGGTTTGTATAATACCTTATTTGTCTAATATAAATGGATTTATGCAGACCATGAAAAGGACTTACAGTGATGGAATTATATTTATTGTCTATATTTTGCTTTCAAATATAATGGGTTATGCATTCTTTAAGTATTTTTTACTGCTGTGGTTTCTAATGTTGTCTTGACTTGGTATTTATTTACAGTCGACCTTCTATCTGGAATATTTTTGTCTGGTACTGAAAGCTGCTCATTGCGAAATGGAATACAATCAGTGAAACACAACATGTAAGTAGCATTTCTGGTCGCAGCAAGCCTCCGCTTATGGTAAATTTCGTACTATAACATACCTTGGTATTGTATGTACTTCTACATTCAGGAATTTTTGCCTTTAACAGAGCTATTCTAAGGACAAGAATTTAGCACAATGGTTGCTTTTTACTATTATGTATTTTTTTTTGCCACTGTGCTAACCTGCAAAAGATAAAGATACATCTTCACTTTCCTTTGAAATTTTTCCAGTCATTCCTTTTTAACTCATTCCTGTAATAGTCTGGTTTAAGCAACAACTCTGACAGCAAAACCTATGAGGGTTTTCAAATTCAATAACCACGACTGGAAGGAAGGCATCCCTCATCTCAACTTTAGCTGAGTAACTGCAGATCCTTAACATTACCCTCTACACTGGAGGTCTTCAAAGTCATCAATCTGTTGAAAACATGCTGACAGCTCGGAGTGGTTCTGTAGTGTCTAAAATGTGCTGTGCTGCTGTCAGAGTTTAGTGCTTTTAGATCACTTGGGAAGAGGTGACTTATGAGCCAAAGGCTGAGTTTCTGTTTCCGCAGCACCTTGCGCACGTGGGCGTAGCAGAGTGTATCTGGCCCAGACATGCTGCGGACAAGAAACCTGCCTTCACACAGGTGTTGGCCAACTCCGGTCAAGAAATGGAAGGTCAGCAAATGCTAAAAGAGAGGTTCAAAGAGCAAACATATTGTTGTCCACTGCAGCATTTTTTAAAGAATTTGTAGACTATAAGGCTAATTCAAAACCTATACGTCGTCTTTCTGGTTTCCGCTGCCCCCTCACTTTCAGTCTGCTGTTTTCCCTGATCTTGAAATCACGTTTTGGAATAATTTGCAACAACTGCTGTGTAGGTTTTTCTGAGTCTTGTATTGGCCAGAGCTGCAATGTTTGCATTCAGCGTTACCATTTCACTATGAAATCTTTCTCTGTCCCTTCCTCCTGAGCTTGTTTTTCCTAAATACACAGTACATTTTTTGAGCTATTTCTTTGGAATAAAAAGTTTCTGTATTTGTCAGTTGGAATAATCTCTTTTATTTTCCTAAAATAGTTTTCAACACAGCTGTTAATTGCAATATCTTCCTTACATATTACCACCATTTTTAGCTGTGTCAAATGAGGCTGTGTATGGGATCTCATAGGAGTGAGATGACTGGAATATATTGTGATTGTTGATGTGCTTATGCTGTTGAATTAAAAAAACATAGAAAGGTGTTTTCTGTAAAACTTCAGATTTTTTTTTCCTTTATGCTTTTAACATATTACTTTAGTCTGTTCAGGATAACAGAAGAAGGTATTCCTCCCAGAGCTTATCTCATTTCATATTACAAAGTATTTAATTTCTCATCCTTCAGCAATCTACAAATGTTTCTTATTAGTGCACCCTTCTGCAAAAAACTTAGTTATGTAGACATACAAAAGGGTTTTTTTTGTTACATGCTGACCATTGTTTTTTTCTGCAACGGATTTCAAGATGCTTTCCCTGTCATAGTGAAAGACCTCTAGGTACTTTGGTTCCCAGCACAAGAGACTTTATATATAGAAAAAAAAATCTATATCTAGATCTATATCTAGGGGTATGTGTATTTCAGTAAAGATGGACAATATTACCTCTTCTTTATAGACTGTAGG